GGGGGGGGGGGGGGTGAATAGAGTTGTTGAAAATATTTTCCGTTTTTCGCGGGATTCATAAGTGCAGCGGAAATAAAAGAGAGATGACAAAGAACACACCGATGTATACTGGTTCACCACCTCGTGGCTAGTCTAGTTCCCCGAGAGACTCTCTCGAAGCTACCACTACTACTGTTAAGCTTATATATGCCTAACAAACCGTTTACAACTTAAGAACTTGAATCCCACAAGCCTCGACACAACCACTCGTAGATATGCCCTCTATAAGACTTCATAACCAAGACTTAAGTCACATAAGCCTTGTACAACAAGAAGAACAATCTTCTTCAAGCTCTCAGCATAAACTCTCACAAGAGTAGGAATGAGAAATGATTTAAGCTCTAATGGATGACAAGAACACTCTCTTGAAAACAAATAGTTTTCTCTCAAAATATATAAATTTGAGGAAGAATTGAATGGAGGATTATAACCTCAAGATATGGGAGTTTTGGAGTGTTTGTTCATTATAAAAATGTCCAAGGAGTGAAGTTTATAAAGGGGTTGAAGGAATATATCCGTTGGAGCTTAGAAAGAAGAGTCTGCTGAAAAACCAGTCAAATAATCGATTATTTTGAAGCAATAATCAATTTTTAGGTTCTGTCCAACATTCCTTCAACGGACGAAATGAAAATCGATTTTGGCCAAAGAGTAAAAATCGATTTTTTACGCAATTATGCCCAAACATGAAGGAGACAATCATGTGTGCGAGGTGAAGTGCTTATTTGGAATTTAGCACTTGTTTAGGGCATGAAAATCATATCAATGGGCTCTCCAATCAACATACATAATTCAAATTCAAAAGAGCATTAGAGATACCTGCTCCGATACCAATTGTTAGACAATTGGTATCGTTTGACACACATCTAATGGAAAGAATTAGGGGTGGGCACAGGCCGGTCCGAGCCAAGATTTGTATAAACCGGATTCAGCTTGTTTTTATTAAAACGGTCTGGGCCGGAACGGGTTTTCAAAATTTAAAAATTGAAACCGGACCTAACCCGACTTGTTTGAAGCAGGCCGATTCCACGGGTCAACGGGTCTGAACCTATCATGATACTAATATTAAAAACAATAAAGTGATAATAAATTAATAATACATACATGGTCATTCACCATTAGTCTACAACAATATATTATCTCCATTGTCAATTTTAAGTCATCCAACACAAAAAAGAGGCCTAAATGAAGACAAAACAATGACAAAGAGAGGCATGAGAGTAAAGTGTACACCCCATGATCATCCAACAACAACAACAAATTGTTTGGTGACTTCCGACTCTCTGACTACTGCGAAAAATTGAAGGGCGTAACTCGATCGTAAGGCTAAGGTTGGGGTATTTACTAAAAATAATACTGGGGTATCAAAATACGGTCCGATCCGGGTTCAATACAATTTAAAAATGGGGAATCAGACCGACCCAAAAATCTATAAAGACCGGACTGACCCGGATCGTTATAAATTTTTGAAAAGAAGACCCGCCTCTAACCCGGACCGAACCTGGCACGGTTCGGTTCCGACTCCCCGTTCCTTGACCCGTTTGCCCACCCATAGAAAGAATATTTCTGAACGGAAGAAGTATAATTTATTTTGTTGGGGCCAAGGTCCATTTGTTTTGTTTCGTCGAGGACCCTCGAATGATTGGTATTAATTTTGCTTGCATCATAATTATTATTTTAATTTAAAATTTATTTATTTGTAATTAAATTAAATTGTTCCTTTTTAAAATTAAAATAAATATACACTTTTCTACGTTTTCAAATTTCACGATTTTTATTTGTGTAAACATTTTTTTTATTTTGGAAATTTTTTGTTTATTTTTTGTTTTTATTTTTGTACTTTTATATAATATTATCTTTACTTCAACTTTATATTCAACTTTATAGTTTATTTTGAAACAAAGATAAAATTATATAAAATCGCTAAAATCAAAACAAAAATTAAGCAAAAATTGCCAAAATAATGTTGTTTAAAATCTTTTAGTTTATTTATTTGTTTTGATTTTTTTCTAAATCCTTTAATATAATAAAGGAGACTCGGATGCACAAAAATTTGACATTTGTCATGTCTATGTGGCAAAATTTAAACATGTAAGCATGCCACGTAATATCCGAGTAACCAGCGGAAATAAATTATATACGATGCACCAGCGGATCTCCCGTTGAAAATAATTGGCCGTAGATTTTCTAGGCGATAATCACTGGCCTTTAACACAATTCTTTTCTTCAGATTACAACAATACGAACTCCTATTATGATGGTAATATAAAATAATTATAAATAATTATGAAAAAATATAAATACTATTTAAAAAATAAATATAATATTTTTCATTTAATTTAAATAGAATTTTAGGACCATGCTACATATATTAATCCTTTATCTTACTTCCATATTTAAAAATTACATACTTGAATTAATAAGTTACAATGGTTTATTGTGGAAATTCGTGTATAATAAGAGTTAAAATCAATAGAGTACCTATATTAATGGAAATTATAATATTATTTTTTACAAAAAAATTATTAAGAAACAATCGTAAATAATACTAAATTTGAAAATGATGATCACGAGTATATTACTCATCACCTTACTTATATTATGTTTGTTGGATAATACTAATATTATTTTTGATCCGTTTACTTATATATGAAAATATTTAATTATGTGTCTTGGATACTCAATAATATTATATGTTAATATATGTTTTCAGATTACAACAATATGAATTCCTATTACGAGGACAATATAAACAATTAAAAATGAATAAAAAAAATATAAATAATATTTATAAAATAAAAAAGAAAGATAATAATTTTTATTTAACTTAAATAGAATTTTAGAACCATGCTACATATATTAATCCTTTATCTTACTTCCATATTTATAAATTTCATACTTAAATTAATAAGTAACAAAGATTTATTAATGGAAATTCGTGTATATATATGTTGAAATCAATAGAGTACCTATACTAATAGAAATTCCAATACTATGTTTGATTCTTTACTTATTTGTCTTACTCCTATTAGTATACATTATTGATCACCTTACTTATATATGGTCATTAACAAAATTTACGGAAAATCTTATTAAGAAACAATCCTAAATAATACTAAATTTGTAAATTATGATCACAAGTATATTATTCATCACCTTATTTCCGGAAAATCTTATTTCCTCAACACAAGATTTTGACAAAATTTAGTATATTATTCACCTTATTTCCGGAAAATCTTATTTGACAAAATTTACGAAAAATATTATTAAGAAACAATCCTAAATAGTACTCCCTCCGTTTCTCAAAAGAGGTCCTCTTTTGACTTTGGGGGAAAATAAGGAAGTGTTAAATTGTAGTTGATTTTCCAATTTTGCCCTTGATGCGATGGATAAAAGTAAGATGTGATAGTTTAGTTGTTAGTGAAAAAATATGATGTGATACGTAGGGTATGAAAAAGTAGGGGTAAAAGTGGTTTTTAATAGAAAAGGGAAGTGTTTTAAGAAAAACAAAAAAATGAAAGAGAAAGGGGTTTAAGAAACGGAGGGAGTACTAAATTTGATAATTATGATCACGAGTATATTATTCATCACCTTACTTATATTATGTATGTTGGATAATACTAATATTATTTTGGATCTCTTTACTTATATATGACAATCGTTAATTATGTATCTTGGATAATCAATAATATTATTCTCAATTCATTTATTTTTAGTAAGGAATTGGTTATATCTAGGATGAACCCAATATTATTTTGAATTCCTTAGAGAGAAAGACCAAAGTAGGACTAAAACATTAAAAATATACAAAAATAGGATTTCCATGTTTTTATTTCCGAAATAGGACTTATATTACCAAACATGTTCATATACATTACCAAGAAAGTATAGTAATTTGCAGATGTATACTGCCACATTACCACAATGCAAAGTCACATTACCACAGTGCAAAGTCCTATTCTGGAAAAAAACATGAAAGTTCTATTTTGGTACTTTTCTCTGTGTTTTAGTCCTATTTAGGACGATTTCTAAATCCTTACTTATATATCTTACTCGCAATGAGTTAAATTGCTCACTTTTATATTCAAATTTATGGAAACTCTTATATACTTGGGTCAAAATCCTATTATAAAAAGAGATATATAATGAGTTGAAATGTGACATCCACCACCCATTTTCATTTTCCATTTCAATACATAGTCATTCAGAATTAATTATGCAATAAATAAGCGGAGAATCGTTCATTCAACTTCTGCCTTTTGTTTTTAAAAGGATTGGTGGTAGGAGCATCCTATTTTTCAATTTTAATGGGGGCTATGGAAAATCAAGTTGACGATACATGGACGAGATGTAACGCCCCGAAACATACCCTAGAATTATTATTAAATAATTATTCGATTAAACAAATTTGTTTTGATTATTATTGGGCTTTGGGCTGATATGAAATATTTTTTTATATCCAATATCAAAATCTGGATAAGTCTAATTGAGATAAATCCAATATGTGGACTATTTGTGTGGTCTTGATTGGGAACTTGAGTACAGACCCAAATCAAGAATAAATAAATTAATTAATTATGATGTGAACTTTGTAATGATTTATTGAAATAAATCGTGAGAATAATTGATATGAATTGAATGAGAGAACCTTTTATGAGAAAGGTCAATTAAACCAATTTTGACCCTGTTAAAATCAAACACCCAAAAATATGATGTCGGAAAAAGTATTACAAATAATTATGAAAAATATATCGTTGGATAGAGCTCGACTGTCTGATCGCAACGGTGTAAACGGAATTCAATTCGGAGAAAGTTGGACCAAAAAGTGTACCCCGACTGGAACCAAAATTGGTCCCAATCAGGGACACTGTGCAAACGGCGCCTCCTTCACCACTACCGATCGCAGAATCACCCTTCACCATCACCATAGTTGTTTTCTTCTTCTCTCCTTCTCATTATATAAGAAAACCCAACCTTCTCATTTCTACACCATTCTCTCTACTTCTTCTTCCATTGTGTTCTTGAGAGTGTAAGGAATATTGTGGTGCTGCCAATTTGGTGTGAGGTCGCCGGAGTTGAGAGTAATCATCGCCGGAAGTTTCGCCGGAAAATTTCCAAAACCTCCATTAAGCTTCGAGGTAAGCCCCTAGATATATCTAATGACTAGAATGTTCATATAGGTCGTTTCTACGTTCATAAATGGTCATTTGGTTGAGTTTTGTGTTTGACATGCTTGAAGAACTAAGAATCATAAACCATGAAATTGATGTTAAAATTATGAATTAATGATGCTAAAATGATCCATGAACCTTGGAGAACATTTTTATATACTTTAATTGAAGTTTGGTGAGTAAAAGTGACATTTCCGCAAGTTGGCTCGAGGTAGAAGACGATGGATAATCGATTATCAACTTGAAAATCGATTATTCATCGTTCTGCAGATTTTTGTAACAAAGCTGAGCAACAGTCGATTATCAGAATGTGATAATCGACTATCAGCCCTCTCTGAAGTTTGATAATCGATTATCAGAGTGTGATAATCGATTATCAG